TGAATAAATTTGAATAAATTCCGCACAGTCGTCTCTGAAGTCTCTACCTTTGTGAGCAACCCTGAAACCCTGTATCGGTCCAAACAGTTTTAGAAAACATTAATTTCACATGTAGAACGAAGGATTAACAAATATTACAGATTTAAATTCAAAAGTTTCCATCGATTTCAGTTTTAACCACAGAGTTTCTCTAACTAAAGTTTCCATCTGGGTAAATATATATAAAACATGAATAGGAAAAATAAAATTCTGAAGAGCACTTCGGCAGTTTTAAATATGTTAATTCTCATGCGTGATATTGTGTATCTGGAAAAAACTAAAGGAATAAATTAAGGTGTCAAGCATGTTTTAAAATTACTTTAAAAGAATGAAAAACATATCTCCTGTATAGCCTAACCTCAAATCTCAACTAATAGTTAAGAGCTATCAAGGATTATGAGCAAGAAAACGTTTTAAAGTAATTTCGAATCTCATCCTCAAATCGATGAAAATTGTTATGGTATAGGACTGTAATTGTTATAGTATAGGACTGTAATTGTTATAGTATAGGACTGTAATTGTTATAGTATTGGACTGTAATTGTTATAGTATAGGACTGTAATTGTTATCTTTGAACTGTTTAGCTTGATTGTTCTATGGGCATTGCAATTATAAAAACCAAGATGTGCACAGTAGATATAAATTCCATCTATGCAAAAATTAAGCAGTATTTTGCCAATTCCTTCTTTTAAAATTAAGCTATGAATAAACGCTTTGCATTTTATTAAATGTTAATCCTACTGCTACAAAAAAAGTATAAGTGGGATGGTGAGGTGGAACGCCAAAGGGTTGCGACACTTAAAAGTCGAGGCTGCATAAAAATTTGATGACTAAAGGAATTGAGTCTTTGCCACAAAATCTGATTTTCGAATCCATATATCTCTACAACTCAATTCCATATTAGATATTTCAAACTATGAATTCAGTTAGATCAAATATTCTAAGTTTGAAATATCAAAGGTTTACACCATCAGGGGGTAAAGATATAGGGATAAAATTTGAAATTGTTGCAAGGACTCAATTCCTTTGCAGAATTGTCGTTATTTCAGTAAGGTTACAGTGCCAAATATACTATTTAATTATGTTAAGTGCCAAATATACTATTTATTTATTTATGCAGGTTTTCAGAAGATGCAGACCCTTTATAATGTCAAGTTCAAGGGCGCATAATTTCCACTGAATTTTCATTCTTGTTGCAGTGTTCATTGAAAAAAAAAACATTTACTGGGAAAATTACTAAATTAAAATGTTCGTAATTAATTCGAAAAGAAAGTTTCCCTATACTGTTACTGCATTATTTGATTTATCCTTTTGTTATTTGAAAATTGAAATCTAATTTTTTTCACTCCTTCCTAGAATTCCATAATGTGCCCGACTCTGGAACTGAGATAAAAACTTATAAAAGGAAAAATTTAGTATCATCTTAAAAATAAACCCAGGTTTTTGAATATCAAAGTTTATTTTTATTAACTCGATTCTAATTGGTTAAGTATTCTGACCAATGAGAGATCGTTTAATCTCTTGCATTGATCTTATCTCCTTGGGGGTATGAGACTATCTTAAGTTCACTTAAACTGGCTTAAATAAGGTCTGTGCTTTATAAAGGTTTCCAGGTCTGATTCATTATACATTCTGAGCGTGGTTTTACCGAAGAAATTTTTAAATAGGAAAAGAAATAAGGAAAAGTCACATGTTTCGGGGAGTGTGGACTCTGGGGGATAAAGTTTCTTCAAAGTTTTGTTCTTTTTATTATTTTACACATGGGGAAATAAAAAAGTTTTGGTTGAAATGAAAAGAATTAACCCCTTGTCCCGTCAATTTGATGAAAGGGATATCTTTAATTTTTGTTTCTAAAAATTGAGTATTTTCAAATGTTGGTTCTCTTTAATAGTAATTTGCATATTTATGGTGTAGATGTGACAATTCAGTTTCTCGACATAACCATTAAAAAAAATAAATTAACTAATTAATACAGACGTAATAATTGGAAAGTGTTAAATACGAAGGTACCTGGAAAGTGTTAAATACGAAGGTATCTAGAAAGTGTTAAATACGAAGGTACCTGGAAAGTGTTAAATACGAAGGTATCTGGAAATTGTTAAATACGAAGGTACCTGGAAAGTGTTAAAATACGAAGGTACCTGGAAAGTGTTAAATACGAAGGTACCTGGAAAGTGTTAAAATACGAAGGTACCTGGAAAGTGTTAAATACGAAGGAACCTGAAAGTGTTAAATACGAAGGTACCTGGAAAGTGTTAAATACGGAGGTATCTGGAAAGTGTTAAATACGAAGGTACCTGGCAAGTGTTAAAATACTAAGGTACCTGGAAAGTGTTAAATACGAAGGTACCTGGAAAGTGTTAAAATACGAAGGTACCTGGAAAGTGTTAAATACGAAGGAACCTGAAAGTGTTAAATACGAAGGTACCTGAAAGTGTTAAATACGAAGGTACCTGGAAAGTGTTAAATACGAAGGTACCTGGAAAAAAAGAAAAAGTTTCAAGAACTGAAATAGTAAGAAAATATAAAGAATATAAACAAAAAATAATAAAAAAACTAAGATTTAGGTTGAAACTATGGAACACTCGCTGAATAAATTAAAATACAATTTAAAAAGATTAGAATCCTTTCATGGAAGTGAACAAATATATAAAGATACACTATTTTGAGTCCATCTAACAGTGTTGTTTCTTTTGGGTATAAATCAAACAATTTTCAAAATATTGAAAAACAAACAATATTCTGTAATGTTTAATTTAGTACAAAAAGATATAAACGTTTTTGATGAATTGTTAGTTTCATACTTACTAAAAGACGTGGTTTTACCAAAACAGAAACTTAAAACCCAGAGTAAACTAGTGTAAAAAAGTATATTTAGAAAAAGCATTAAAAAGCGTTATTGATAAAAGAGAAATGTTACACAACCTATTGCTTGATCATTGCAACACAAAAATGTTGAAAATTTGAAATAAATTGTAAACTGCTGACTCAATAAGTAATAATAAAGTTGTGTTCACAAAATAAACATCGCTTACATTAAAAAAATAACATCTAGTCTTTTAGAATGGTTTGCTTTTGTCATTAAAGGGAATGTTTTAGTGAACCCATGTTAAATCAAGGCTCATTCACATTCCTTATAGGAATGTGAAGGATATCCGAAAATCACTTTTGTAGAAAAACCATGCAATCAATTAATTATTAATCTTTCAATGCTTTATTAAATGTTACTTGAAATTACATTTCTACAGTTTCTTTAAGCCCTATTCAAATAACTACATGAGACTAAAGGCTTGTTCAGAATTAAGAAATTGTCATTATTGACACCTTGAATCATAAACAATAAGATTACATCAATAAAAGAGGCAAGGTTAGGGTTCCCAACGAAATATAAACAAAGTATAAAAGTAAACAAATGTGTGTAAAGTTTTTAATGCTTGCAAATTTATTTACGGCGAAGATTTTTTTCACTTTGTACTTTTACTTGTTTTACTTTTATTTTAAATGTTGTTGATTTTACATATGTTATTGTTGCACTTTGTGTTTATCTTCCAAAGTTTAAGGATTCTCTGTAGGGTAAACTTTAGAAACAATTTATACCGTAAAATGATCATGTTTATCAGAACTTTGCGACATTCTGAACCCTAGTGAGCATGTTAACATTGTAAATTATAAACATGGTGATCTCTGACCCTAAAAAGATGAGGCTTTAGTGAACACTGTAAAATATCGAATTTATTTATCAAAAAGCCCGAATTTATTAAAATATTTCCGGGTCTACATACAAGTCTTATCCTCCGTGGGTAATCCAGTAGATGCAGTATAAACATTAAACATTCCCAGACATGATGGATATGGAAAGGTTTGGATAAACTTTTTCATGTAAAACAATTTCTTTTTAATAAATTGAAAATTAATGTGAGTTCAAGAAATCCTGATATTTTCAATTGCAAAAGGAACTGAGTTTTTGCCACAAACTCCGATTTTCCAATCCCAATATCTTTGCAATCGAATGTCGGAGATCTTTGATATTTTACACTATAAATATATTTAGATCACATAATGATAGTTTGAAATATTGAAGGTTTACACCATCAGGTTGAGAAAATAGAGGTATTAGAAGTTCAGAATTTGTGGCAAAAACTCAGTTCCTTTAGAAGTATATACATTGAAAATTAAAGTAACAAATATCCCTTTAATTTATAATTGTGTAAAGACTTTAATTTTAAGTGAACCTTAATATTTAAAATATCATATCCGATTCACATAGGTACTATTTTAAAGCTTTGAATGATCAAAAGAAATGAGATGTCCATATTTTTAACTTTAAAATAATAATTTTTAATTCAAGTTTCTCCGTAGAAGTGGGTTTGGGGATTGAAAGTTACTGTTGTGAATTAAACATGTCCTTATCCTAAGACAGTTCCCTTACAGAAACTTGTCGCAAAGTTTTACCCGAGGTGCAGAACGATTTATCCTTTATTATTCGGTGTAAGGTACTTTCACAAAGACATTTTCCTAAGAGCGACTTTGCAAGTGACAGTTTCCATAGTGGCAACTTCCCAAATGTGCATTTTCCCAAGTGGCAACTTCCCAAAGGTTATGGTAGGCCTTCTGAGGCGCCGCAGGCTGCAACGGGGCCGATCACTGCGGCTAGAACAGAAATTTAACATTTGGGAAGTTGCCACTTGGGAAAAAGCCTTTTGAAACGTAATTATAACATTTTTTATTCTTCTTACTTTTTCAAATTGCTTATCTATTACAAAATATGTATTTTTTCTTTGTTAACAAGTGAACAGATAACTGATAATAAATGCACATAATTGCATACTTTACATAACTATTGCCGTGTTCGATTTCAAGTTCAAGGCATAATATTTTCAAAATTGCAGAATATAAATTTTGCATCATAATATTTTTTCATACTAAATTAATACAAAACTTTACACTTTTCTGTTGCGCCATGATTTTGAAAATATATATTTTATTTTGAACGTACTTGCAAAAAATAATATTCGGATAAATAACATATTCTTTGTAATTTAGCAACGTAGTTTATATTTCAGTTTTTTTTAATCTTTGGATTTTATATAAATGCCTTTAATCCTGTGGTTCAAAAAGTACTACAATATGACTGAGGGAGGTAGGACTGAGAACCAGTTCTGGAGATTCTGATTTCATTTGTTTGCATTTATCAAGCAGTTTGTCTTTTAATAAGTTTTTAACTTCTAAATCACATTCTGATTCAAGTTGATTTTTAACCGAATTAACCTCTAATCTATCCTCTTCCTCCTCCTCAATAATCTCGTAAACTTCCCCAGCACCTGGTCCCTGGAATGGCGGGGGAGGATCGTTGTAGAATATTTCTCCATCATCATCAACGTCACCAGTATTATCTGGGAAATGCTGTTCAGTACAGTTGCTAGCGAGGGATAGTCGCCTTGCTGTTTTATATGTTGGAGGAGGGAAGAGATGTTCCTCTAGGGTCAATGATGGTCTAGTTTTATAAACCTAAATTAAACAATTGTTAATGCTTGACACCATGATGAATAAAGAACATTTTAGTTGAACAAATATCAAAAATAATAACGGAGTCAAATACTTGGGAATCAGGGGAATTCCCCAAATGCCTGGAAATCTGGGAAATTTCCCAAATACCTGGTAATCTGGGGTAGTTTTTTTTTCAATTGTAGAAAATATTTCAAATGTCCAGCTATTTTGGGTATTTTCCAAATACCCAGACATTTGAGGAGTTCTTCAAGTATCCAGTCGTTTGAGAAATTTCCGAAATCTTAAATATATATGATTTACATTCCTTAAATTACTATAAGAATTTGGGAAATTTCGGGAATTCCCCGGAATTCCCCAAATGCCTCGGAATCTAAAAAATTCCCCAAATACCTGGGAATCTGAAGAATTTCCCTTAATACCTGGGAATCTGGGGAATTCCCTAAATTCCGTAGAGAATCCGAGAGCAGTTTATTTTTCAATTTAGAAAATTTCTCAAATGCCTAGATATTTGTGAAATTTCCCAAATGTCCAGTCATTTACAAAATTTTAAAAACCTTAAAAATATTCGAACCTCTAATTCCTATAGGAATTTGGAAAATTCCCAAAATACCTGGGAATCTGGGAATTCCTCATATTCCTGAGAATCTGGGGAGTTTCCCAAATTCCTATTTTCTTCAAAAGTATAATAGCAGTCTTCAAATATTGGTTTTGAACAAATCTTCTAATTTTCTTTTTTAGAATAAACAAATAAACATTCAATTTTTGAAAGTAGAACAAATTGGCCACAAGTTTTTTTGTGGAAAAATTTTGGTACTTCGGAAATGGCGGAGAGCAAGAAACACTCCTAGGAGTTCTCTATCGAAGGTGGAGTACCTCTGTTGAGTGGCGGAGAGCTTGGCAGAGAAGAAAGCTAGGGGGCGCCAACCACCTGACTCTCTCTGTTGAAGAGCTGCTCCCACGTGTGTGTTGGAGGCATCAGTGACGAGTGACACTTCGGTGGATGGAGAAGGATGTGTGAGAGACACGGTGGAAGAAAGGGCGGATTTGGCTCTATCAAAGGCGTCTTGTAACTCCTGGGACCAGTTAAGAACCCGAGGATTTCCAGCCAGGGCATCAGTGAGAGGGCGGAGAGTTCTTGCAATCCCAGGTAAAAGTTGATCATGCCTAGGAACCTCTGGAGACCATGTACATCCTGGGGATGTGGTTGGAGGAGTAGGGCATCTACATGATGACGTAGGGGAACAATGCCATCAACAGTAATCTTATGTCCCAAGTACTCAATCTCGTGTTGTACAAAACTACACTTATCCAGGTTCAACACTAATCCGTTCTGAACCTGGAGCTCTAGGACAACCCGGAGATGCTCTATGTGGAGTTTCCTGGTTCGACTGGCCACCAGGACGTCGTCCAAGTAGATAAAAACATAGGGTAATCCTCTAAAGATCCTGTCCATCAATCGTTGAAACGTCTGAGCCGCATTCTTCAGTCCAAAGGGCATATATAAAAACTCAAACAATCCAAATGGGGTCACAATGGCAGTTTTACAAATATCTGCCTCACTCATGGGAACTTGATTGTAACCCTTCACTAGGTCGAGTTTGGAGAAAAACTTGCAACCTCTTAAATTGTTTGCAAAATCACGAATGTTAGGGAGATGATACCGGTCTGGTCTGGTAACATTGTTTAAACGTTGGTAATCGCCACAAGAACGCCAGGATCCATCAGATTTTTGAACCATATGTAGAGGTGAGGCCCAAGGACTATTAGAACAGCGGATAACCCCCGCCGATTCTAATTTTTGGAACTCAGCTTTAGCTTGTGCCAACTTAATTTGATCCAAACGGCGGGGCCAACATATAAAGGTTGTCCTTCTGTTTCAATCACATGCTCCACGTTGTGCTCAGGGAGTTTACCAGGTGTTCGTGGATTCCAGGCTGCAGGAAACTCATCCAGGAGAGAGGCAACATCAGGGGCGAGCTTACACACAGAGGCAATGGAGGAATCGGCGGGAGAAAACCTAGGTGGTGCAAGAGGTTCAAAGGAGAGATTTTGAAGAACTTGCAGTTCTTGGTGTCGACTAGGAGGTCAAACTCTGCCAGGAAGTCTGCTCCCAGGATTGGTTGGTCCACGTCGGCGAGGAGGAATTGGAACTGGAAACGGCGGGAACCAAACTGTAGAGGAACCAAGCTTTAGTTGGTCGTCCATCAGCCATTAGGAGGTGGGGGCCTGTCGGTGCAGCTGGGGAACGATGAGGAAACACAGTGTCAACGCTCCAGTGTCAACTAAATAATCACGGTTTGACAGGGCATCTTGAAGGTACACAAGATAACCGCCGACGGGAAGGCTGTTTAATTTTTCTTCCTCCCGTCGGCTCTGGCGTTTCCCTGGAAACTGCAAGGAGGGCGACAATTGTTGGCTGCAGGACCAAAACTTTTGTGGAAATAACACCATGAGTTTGATGGACCTGGGGTTTGACTACGGCGGTTTGGCGATGGGCTTCTACGGTCCTGAGCTCTACCACGTGATGGGGAAGATGATGAGGTCGATGCTGCGGCTAGGAGGTGGTCAGTAGGTATAGCTTTCCTGGCGTCCCACAAACTATCAGCGTATAACGCCATTTCACTAGGGTTTTTGAATTCCCTGGAGACTAGATGGTCCCTCATCTCGACGGGCAACCTCTCCAGAAATAAAACTTGGAACAGGCAACCTGGTTTCTCGTCCTCTGGGAGAAGGGCCAACATGGCGTCCATGAGAGCAGTAGGGCGTCGGTCTCCCAGCCCAGGGTGATGAATTAGTTTGGAAACCTTCTGCCAGCGTGATAGAGTATACGAGGAGACAAGTTTGGCCTTTAAATCCTCGTAAGGGGTTTCTGAGGAGGCAGCAGAACCCATGATCAGGCCGCGTACCGAGACCATAATCTTCTGGGGAAGTTTCTGTACGATGTGGTCGAATTTGGTTATTGACTGTGTGATTTGGGCGTTTCTGAAGGCCGCCTCTGCATGAAGGAACCACAGGTCGGGGTCCTCTGTCCAGAAATCCGGGAGCTTGACGGAGACTTTGGCGACAAACTCGGTTGGAGTTTCTTTCTTGTCGGTCATGATGCTCGGATGTATCACTTAATGTTCAAAGTTCAAGAAAATCACCAAACTGGATAGCGTTTAACTGTATGTTCAAAGTCGGGGGTCACCAATATAGAGGACGTGAGTCAGACTCTAATAAAAACGCATAAATAACTTCCAGTATATATATTTCTTATAACTTATTACTAGAGGGTTCAGAACTGGAGTCAATCTCGATATCACACGTGTAGATGTTTTATCAGTACTCTGCCCCGTATCCGTTCTATCTCATTCTGTTGAATCTTGTGGAACTTGTTTAACGCGGCCAGACATCGTCTTCCACAACATAACAATTAGTCGTAACTCAGTACCACAGATAGAAAATGAAGGTTTAAGAATGTTTTCCCACAAAGAATGATGAAATATCATAACTCAATACCACAAATTATCAAGGTTAAACATAACTTATTACCACAACACATGATGATCAATCTTAGCTGAATACCACAAATATCAAGACTTAACATTACCTATCACATTAAGTATGAAATTTGATTATATATCTTAATAAAAATAATTATTTCTATTAAGACAGCTGAAGTATTTTAATTATCACAGTGTATTATGTCTATTTTAATTAATACAGTGTATTAGGTTTATTTTAATTATCACAGTGTATTATGTCTCTTTTTATTATCACAGTGTATTATGTCTATTTCAATTATTACAGTGTATTATGTTTATTTTAATTATTACAGTGTATTATGTCTATTTTAATTATCACAGTGTATTATGTTTATTTTAATTATTACAGTGTATTAGGTTTATTTTGATTATTACAGTGTATTAGGTTTATTTTAATTATTACAGTATATTATGTTTATTTTAATTATTACAGTGCATTATGTTTATTTTAATTATTACAGTGTATTATGTCTATTTTAATTATCAAAGTGTATTATGTTTATTTTAATTATTACAGTGCATTATGTTTATTTTAATTATTACAGTGTATTATGTCTATTTTAATTATTACAGAATATTATGTTTATTTTAATTATTACAGTTTATCATGCCTATTTTAATTATAACAGTGTATTATGTCTATTTTAATTATTACAGTGTATTATGTTTATTTTAATTATTACAGTGTATTATGTCTATTTTAATTATCACAGTGTATTAGGTTTATTTTAATTTTTACAGTGTATTAGGTTTATTTTAATTATTATTTCAATTATTACAGCGTATTAGGTTCATTTTAATTATTACAGTGTATTAGGTTAATTTTAATTATATCAGTGTATTATGCCTATTTTAATTATTACAGTGTATTATGTTTATTTTAATTATTACAGTGTTTTATGTTTATTTTAATTATTACAGTGTATTAGGTTCATTTTAATTATTACAGTGTATTAGGTTAATTTTAATTATATCAGTGTATTATGTTTATGAGGGTAAACTTGTTTTTTCTATTCACACATGAGTATTTGTTAATTATGCATATAAAAAGTAATAAATGGTTAATTATTCTTATTACCACAAAGCAGGAAGGTTATACAGTATATGCTTTTACCAAAAAGTATGAAGGTTAATTGTATAATTAACACAGAGTGTAAAAGTTAATTATTATTATTTCCACAGAGTGTGAAAGTTAATTATTATTATTACCACAGAGTGTAAATTAATTATTATTATCACCACAAAGTGTGAAGGTTAATTATTTTGATTACCACAAAGTGTGAAGGTTAATTATTATTATAACCACAAAGTGTGAAGGTTAATTATTTTGATTACCACAAAGTGTGAAAGTTAATTATTATTATAACCACAAAGTGTGAAGGTTAATTATTTTGATTACCACAAAGTGTGAAGGTTAATTATTATTATAACCACAAAGTGTGAAGGTTAATTATTTTGATTACCACAAAGTGTGAAAGTTAATTATTATTATAACCACAAAGTGTGAAGGTTAATTATTTTCATTACCACAAAGTGTGAGGGTTAATTATTATTATAACCACAAAGTGTGAAGGTTAATTATTTTGATTACCACAAAGTGTGAAGGTTAAATATTTTGATTACCACAGAGTGTGAAGGTTAATTATTTTGATTACCACAGTGTGGACGTCAATTATTATCATTACCACAGAGTATGAAGGAGGTACATCAGTTTCTGCAAGAATTCTGTTTCTCTTCTTAGTAAAAAACATCTCAACAACGCTTATATTCTGAAAATCATTTAGTCAATCATAAGAAATAAATATCATTTTTTAGTTAATATATTATTAAATGAGAAATGAAATAAATATACAAAGTTAATACTGTAATAAATTATAAAATATAAAATCTTACAAGTAGTGACTTAACAAGTAAAGGATATAACATAGATTGGCATTGCTTCAGAGAAATTTAAAATATTATGTTAATTTCAAGGTTTTGTAATGAGATGGCTCAATCTAGATGCGCTCCAAAGTACGAAAAATGTTGTTTCCTTAACAAGTATAGAAAAAATATAATGTAAATGACGTCACACTCACCACTTTAATTAGTGACGTCATATGTGGATTTTATCATCTATGCTTAGGAGACGACATTTTCCGTAAATTGGAGTGCATCGAGAGTAAGCAACCTTATTATACAACCTTGGTTAAATCTGGTTCCAACACTATTTAGTATCTCTTTTAGAATCCCTATCTGGCTTCTTAATGTACTGTCAAAAAATATTGTATGAAATATCTGAACACCAATATAATTTACAAGAATCTTGATTTAAATAATAAAATAAGAAGGATTGTAGATGTAATTTCAATAGACATTCCATTCAAAGAGCATGACTGATACTATTAATCCCTTAAACCTTTGTTTAAAACTTAAATGATGAAATTGAATATCGTGTTTTTCTATCCAAAGATGTCTAATAGAATGCTGACCAAGACAAAGAAAAATAACGTATTTTACAGTTTTCAACGGGAAAAAAACGACTGAATATTTCTCATATTGACCTGATCAAGGTTTAATAAGGGTATCGTTGTGAACCAAGTATGTCCTTTTATAATTCAGTTCAGCACATTAAATCAACCGTGAACGTAATTTTACGTGACCATTCATTTACAGACGAACATGCTTGATTCACTACGACGGTACTCCTGAAATTGTTTCAATTTTCCCAATATTTTCCTCATTGTTGCTCAGTGCCCGAGATTTAAAACATTCAGGAAAATACGACTCTAAGCTGCCATTGAGCCTTATTTACGTCTTGGGCTTTCGAATTTAAGTTGCATCTAATTTTGCACGGAGTTGATTTCATAAACGTGGTTTATTATTTTATATGGCGGATTTTCATGGTTGGAATTGGCGCATTCCGTTTCCGGGTTTTGATGAGAACAAGACTCAACATTGAGCCTTATTTTCTACTAAAACCAACCGGTGTCGGTTTTATTTTCATTGGGCCTAACTCAGTAAGTCTAGCCTAAGATCTTGCAGCTGTCAGTCACGTGACACAAGCTGTCGTCAGAGTTGAGTTTAAGATTGAGTCTCAAAGCTGGGTTTAAGGAATTACGACCTGTGCCGAAGCTTTTATATCTTTAGTTCAGAGCCGGCGATTTAAAAAGTTCAAGAAAATACGACTCGGGTCTAAGCTGTTGTTGAGCCTTATATACGGCTCGGGCTTCCGGATTTAAGTTGCATCTATTTTTCAACAGAATTTATTTCGTAAAACCGGTTTAATGTTGTATTTGGCGGGTTTTCATATTTGGAATTGGCGCATTCCGGGTTTTGATGAGAATAAGACCCAACATGGAGCCTTATTCTTCACTAAAACCAACCAAGGTCGGTTTTATTTTCATTGGGCTTAACTCCTTAAGTCGATCCTAAGATCTCGCAGCTGTCAATCACGTGACACAAGCTGTCATCAGAGTTGGGTCTAAGATTGGGTCTTAAAGCTGCGTTTAAGGAATTAAGACTCGAGTCGAAGCTTTTAAATCGCGGGCTCAGAAGAAGGAATTGTGAAACGTGCATGCAGCTCTTTAAATGAAACCGACTAGTCAGTCAAAATTAAGTCGACAGTCCCTTTAAACCAAAATATTTCTTACCCCGAAAAAGTATTTCCAAGTACACATACCGATGATACAGAGACAAATGATCGTCATCATTGCACAAAGTAATGTCAAACTTTTTGCTCTTAATTCTAAACAGAACATATTTTCTTAACTAAAAGAAATTGAGTCTTTTCCACAAATCCCAATTTTCTAACACCCATATCTCTAAAACCAGATAGCGTAAACCTTTGATATTTCAAACTTTGATTGTTTGATCCATCAGCATTTATAGTTTGAAATATCTAGGGTCTACAACATTGGGTTGTAGAGATAAAGGGATTAAAAAATCAGAGTTTGTGGCAATTACTCAATTCTTTTGTAGCATTCTACACCAGAGCTTCCCAAAAGCGTTGCTACAAATTATTGAGATGAAAGCATAGTGAGATAGGTATAACTAAAATTTTCCGATCATTATTAGTACATTTTTTTCAAATATTCTGGAGAGGAACGTTTAAAATTTTTAGTGACTCTCGCATTTAAGGACGGACATGTTCGAGTCACTATGATACTCTTGTAACCTTAAATATTGTGGAAGTTAACATGTTTTCAAACATTAGGAAGCTAGATAATTAGGAAACTAAATATTTAGGGAGCTATATATTTAGGAAGCTAGATATTTAGGAAGCTAGATATTTAGGAAGCTATATATTTAGGAACCTAGATAATTAGGAAGCTAGATATTTAGGAAGCTATATAATTAGGAAGCTTGATATTTAGGAAGCTAAATATCTAGGAAGCTAGATATTTAGGAAGCTTGATATTTAGGAAGCTAGATATTTAGGAAGCTAGATAATTAGGAAGCTAGATAATTAGGAAGCTAGATATTTAGGAAGCTACATAGTTAGGAAGCTAGATAATTAGGAAGCAAGATATTTTTGGAAGCTAGATATTTAGGAAGCTAGATAATTAGGAAGCTAGATATTTAGGAAGCTAGATAATTAGGAAGCTAGATAATTAGGAAGCTAAATATTTAAGAAGCTAGATAATTAGGAAGCAAGATATTTTTTGAAGTTAGATATTTAGCAAGCTAGATAATTAGGAAGCTAGATATTTAATAAGCTAGATATTTAGGAAGCTAGATATTTAGGATGCTAGATATTTAAAAAGCTAGATAATTAGGAAGCTAGATATTTAAGAAGATAAATATTTGCAAGATAATTTTGAAGAGAAACCACAAACGAAAATATTCAGTTCTCAAAAACAAAAACATGGATATATAATTCATATTTGATGAGAAAAAATTTCGAAATGAAGGGTCATAGAAATTACGTTTGCAGACCCTTCAAACTGAAATATTATGACTTGAAAGACTATTGTTTTCAAACTACGGTTAAAGTCCTTTTGTGGAAGACGATGCCTGGCCGCGTTAAACAAGTTCCACAAGATTCAACAGAATGAGATAGAACGGATACGGGGCATAGTACTGAAAAACATCTACACATGTGATCTCGATATAAACATTTATTCTGAACCCTCTAGTAATAAGTTATAAGAAATATATACACTGGAAGTTATTTATGCGTTTTCATTAGAGTCTGACTCACACCCTCTATACTTTAACATATAAAAGGAATTGCATTTTTGTCACAAATTCAGATTTTCAAGTCCCTATATCTTTGCAACCCGATTTCATAGAATTTGTTATTTCAAACTATTAATTCTATTAGATCAAATTATCCAAATATCGCATTTTGAAAAAAATAACTGTTTCTTCCAAATTGTTATGGACACCTAAATCATTTTTAAAACATTAGTCTCGTAAAACATCAAAAAGAAAAGAAAATAATGATGAGAAAAATGTATCATTTACCTTCTCCTTCAGGCGTAATACAAGGAAATGCGCAAGTAGCATTGTTATTCAAACCAAACTCAAATCTGGGGTTCCACTCAATCTCTGATTCCTCCTTTTCTGTTTTTTCTACGTTAGCCTCCTCCATCTTTAACTAATATATGTTTAGTACATCTGAAACTAAATATAGATTATTTGCAAAAGAAAAGGAAACCACAAAAGTTTAAAATTTTAAACTTAATTAGGAACTGTAAGCGTAATTTCAAGGGACGTTCCATACAAAGATGGCAATGCCCGATTCACAACGATACAAACCTTTATTCAACTTGAGGACTTATGCCCGATAAGAATAAACCTGACTTTAATTGACAATCGTTTATTGTCTTTTCGATTTATTTCTTTATAAAATTCTTCATTTTTTAACGGTTATTGCGAGTTTAGGAAATTGAAATCAATAATGAATTTTAGATAGAAAAAAAGGGATAACTCGACCATTTTTGCGTAGACAAAGGATCGCACGTGGCCCCTTATAAATTGAGGATCGCTTAAAGTTACGTCTCTACATCAGTCGATCCTTCAAGTCTTCTTATATTCTTAATACTTATCTTTAAGGTAAAAAAAGAAATTGATAATTTAACAAAAACTTTAATTTTCTTTTCAAGGGTAAATCATATATTTTATGTTTAATCTTACCCAAAACTAATTTTACCTTTAAAATGGGCTTAAAGCATTTAAGAATTGGATTTAACAAAAAGATTTATGTATGGGGGGGGAGGGGGGATTGAAGTGAAATTTTTTCGCCTGCTTGAAGAATAAATTTATGCGATGGAGTAGAGAGAGTAGAGACAATCAATTATAAAAGTGTAAAGTTGATGGACTTTTTAATCCCTTCTTACGAAACCAGTATTTTCTTGCTTGAGTTGGAAAGATATTAAATGTAAGAATCATGATGTTGTGTCATGATTCAAACAAAACCTGATCACTGGTTCGGCTAACAAGAATACCATCTTTAAAATATTCATAAAATATTTGGTTTGGACTAAAATTGTGTTTTTTTCCCTTCCGGAACACGAACTAATTGTAAAATTTCAAGTGGCCCTGCATTTTTAGAGTTAAATTAATATTTTTAGCTAAAATAATAAATTTGTTTAAACTGTGGTTGTTTTTAAAAAAGTTACTTGTGCATTTCTAGTTCAGAACAAAACTGGAGGAAGTTATCAAAATTAAACACTTGTCAAGCAAGAACAACGACACAACCTTCAATATTTTTTATGAGAGCAAGGTTTCACGGATATGGTTGTGGATTAGGCGTGCTTCTCCTAAAATTGGGTTCACTAGCAATTACAACGACAGCATCTTTAAACTGTATATGTTTATCGATCCTATTTGCATATAATTATTCAAAACTACACAGTAACAAATCATGTATCTACATCACTATAGTTTCAGTAAAAGTAAATATTTCCATTTACTGTTAAAACGCCAATATAAGGATTTATATCTAATTGGATAATGAGCTAGATAGGAAGATAGATGTTATCGCCATGCAATTTCTATTGGTTCAGAATCGACACCAAACACATGGCTGAACCCTGATTGGATCAGACGCTAATGGACTCGGCATACTAGAGTGACAATAAGTTTGGGGCATGCTCGACCCACAGAGCCATCTTATAAACCTTTATCTGATAAAAAATGAGGAAGATACCGACGTTTTTCTAGCCTATAAACGTGTTTAATTCTGACAATTTCCCTTAATGTTTCTTGAGTGCAGAAATCAGCAAGTCACTTTAGTAGATGAACCACAAATGAAAAAAATCATTTTTTAAATGTAAATGATGGATATTTTAATGATTTATTCATTCCAGATGAGACAAAGCTAGTATGGTACCGTTGTGAATTGGGAGAGTCACTTCAAATTATGTTTACAGTTCCTATGAGAAGAATCACTACAATAACATTTTCACGAACAAATTCCATGAAATGTACTTTAGATCTAAATCCAAACTAAAAGTCCTTACTCTCATGTTTATTGGGGCACACACTTTACTTGACAGCAATCGTACTGTGTATCCATACTCTAAAATAGTACTATCAGAGTATCCATACTCTAAAATAGTACTATCAGAGTATCCATACTCTAAAATAGTACTAGCAGAGTATCCATACTCTAAAATAGTACTAGCAGAGTATCCATACTCTAAAATAGTACTAGCAGAGTATCCATACTCTAAAATAGTACTAGCAGAGTATCCATACTCTAAAATAGTACTAGCAGAGTATCCATACTCTAAAATAGTACTATCAGAGTATCCATACATTAAAATAGTACTATCAGAGTATCCATACTCTAAAATAGTAATCCATGCTAAAATGTTAACTACACATTTCTATTGCATAATAACATACAGTGTGTCCCCAAAAAAAGAGTCCATTAGTTATTTGTTTTTACATTTATGTTCATTTGTTAAAATTATGAAACATTTCCAGTCGATATATGGACACCAATTAGCTAGTAGAGCAATAAAATTTAAGGAAATTCAATTTTAGTCTTAAAACTTCTGATTGTTAAATACATTTAAAAAGTTAAAAAATATAACTATAGCTTTTAAGACACCCTGCATTATATTTCTGATATGATCTAATAATCATGTATCATATTTTCCAAGGGCATTGATTGCATTTTTAATAAATAATTACTCAAACAGATACCAAGTAAACTGAATAGTCAGAGCTAGTACACTTTTATAAATGTTAATCTGTGTAAGTGTCGGTGTTGCTAAGATTTAAAGAGGGTCTATGAATAATCGGAATCTTCATTCTATTACATATATGAATTTATTTAGTTTAAAAAGTGTCACAAAAACTCGTTTCTCTTTGACGTACGATATTTCAGATGTCAGAGCGAGAACCATTTCGAACCATTTTCCCATTCAAAGGAATTGAGTCTTTGCCACAACCTGAAGTTTTCTCAATCCTATATCTTTGCAACCTGATGTTCTAAGCCTTTGATATTTTAAACTTAGATCACTTGATCCATCAGAATTCGTAGTTTGAAATGTCTAAGGTCTACGACATTGGTTTGCGAAGATAAAGGGGTTAGAAAATCTGAATTTGTGGAAAACACTCATTTCCTTTCGTATTTTTTTTTGGACTTTACGTTTGGAACAAGAACCATAGTTCCTTTAATGGTCTATAACGATTAAAAATCATTAAACATTTCTGAACAGACAGATCAATTAGATTAGTTTTTCAAATTTACACAAGAAAAAATACCATCCTGAGATGATGTTATATATAAGGGATGAAAATAGAACAAAATAGTGCATTATCATTTTATTACGTAAACCCTCCTTTTATCATATCGTTGTTTTCATTGTACAAATCAATATCATTAAATGGGGGGGGGGGCAAAAAAAACCTTCGCAGACGTTTCTATCTATACTTTTAACATCCATCTTTTTAAATACGTTTATTGATTTTAATCTTTTTTTAGTTTTTACAACCCGAATATTTTTGAATGTCTGAGTCTAACTAAAAAATCAGATGAATCTCTGAAAACAATAAAAGCATTATTTTATGTATTTAAAATAAATATTTTTTTACTTGAATTAAATGTTGTTAATCATGCTATTAAAAAGATAAACTTGAATATCTGCTCCGTCCCATTTTCCTGGTTAAAGATAGATCCAAGGTACTAATGCACGGAAAGTTAATTGCGGTCGTGTATACTCTGCGTACATATTGAAACCAGTTCTCTCTGGGCGGACTTTGTAAACAAGAATAGATGCATCAGTGTTCCTTTAGTATCCGAGGAGGATAAAAGCATTCAATTTCGATAATTCTGATAATTCACATAATAGTTTTCTATGACTAAAATATTTCATTAATTTTTTATGTGAAAATGGATTCCATGTCAGGCTGTGACATCGGTCTTGTGTTTACTTTTCCGCCCAAGGACAGTACGCTGCAGTACAAAAAATGCGTACACCTTTAAAAATAACTTTTCTTGCATTCGTACCTTGGATAGATCCATCCAGAATCAGGGGCTTAAAAGCAAAGTGGCAAGGAAGTAGGGAGCATAAAATATATACATAATGTCTTTAAGTAGTCTTTGGGAACTGAGGACTATCATGCAGTAGTCCTAGGACTTGATAATACACCGATGTATATATAACAACATTTGTAGTCCATCAATTTTTAGACAGCTTCGACTTTAAAGTGTCGCAACGCCTTGGCTTTTGGTTTGACCTCCCTAACTTGGTTCTACTTTTTTGTAGCCCTAGACATGTACAATTTATCAATGTAATGCGCTTGATTCTATATTTAGTTTTAAAGGAGTAATTCGTAAAAAACTTCTTACAGAGAATGAGGTCTGAAGTCTTAACCTTTAGAAGAAATGGCGCTAGGAAACCAAATCCTTCATTTACCCACAGTTGATCTGTTCCAAGGATTGTAAGGCAAGGAAAGTTATTTCAGAAGTGTACACATATTTCACATAAAAAATCGATGAAATATTCTGGTCATAGGAAACTATTATGTGAATTATCAAAATTTAATGCTTTTAACCTCCTCGGATACTAAACGAACACTGATGCATCTATTCTTGTTTACAAATTCCGCCAAAAGAGAACTGGTTTCAATATGTACGCAAAGTATACACGACCGCAATAAATTTCCTTGCCTTACATCATTGGTCTGTTCAACCATTTAAGACGATTACTATAAACAAACAAGAATCCAGACTCGACTAGCCAAACATATATATACACTATATAGATTACAGATAAATCAAGATATTTGAATACGAACAGATGTGTTATGTTTATTTGAAATGTCTGGTATAATGAGATTAAAACAAGATTATTTTATTAATAAAAAAATACTGGCGCCTTAAATGATAGACAAGGAGAAAATAAACAAGAAGTGTGGACAAAACCTAAAAAAAGAAGGGAAAAAAGGAGAAAGAAAAAAGAAACAAAGAGCAAGAAAGAGAGATAGAAATGAATAGATCGAGGAAGATTAAAAAGTTGTAAACCATGTTTTAAAGATGTGCACTCATGCATCTATGCTTTATGCATTAAATTAAACTTAATCCCTGAGCCCAGCTGGGGGAATCCTACTAAATGAAAACTCAACAAAACCAACTTTTATGAGATTGTGCACTTCTATATAA